AGCTATGCCCACCCTGCCTCAGCCGCCCGGACCTGGGCACAGACCTCGGGAAGAGTCCCGAGAGAGAGGCACCGCGGGGAGGGCGGGCAGAGGGTGTCCCGGGAGGGCACAGGGCGCCCCAGCCCTGCGCGCTGGAGGGGAGGGGGCCCCCCCGCAGGCAGGGCCCCGCGGTCTCCACGGCCTGCCAGGAGGAGGGGAGCCTCCAGGCAGGGTTGAGGCTGGGGCTGGGCCCCGCCTTGGTCAGTCGCAGCGGGTGAGGGTGGGAGGCCACCCAGGCTGGGGCTTCTCCTGCGGGAGGCCGAGCCGGGACATCTAAGGGGGCCCCCGCAGGGCCAGGGTGGGAGGTGGGAGACAGGAGGTGCTGTTACCACAGCAGGGACCCAACCCAGGCTGTCCCCAGGCCACAAGGTTTGCAGATACCTTGGTCCCTGGGGTTTGCAGACCCCCACTTTCCAGTCAGGGCCAGCTGGAGCCTCTGTGATGGTTTGGTACAGGTCACTGCCAGCACTCCCACTCCAGCCAAAGTTTCTGGCCAGATAGCACAGTGTAGCTGATTTAATATTGCAAAGAGCTAAGCCTAGTATTGTCCCAGTGGAAACTCTGAGCGTTGCAGACACCTGTACCTCCAGAAGCAGCACAAGGAAGCCTCCTTCAAGACCAACACAGCCTCACCTTCACTGCAGAGGAGAGCAGGCTCGCGGGCTCCTGTTCCCTGAGCTCTTCACGCTCCCCTAGCACTGGAGGTTGGGCACCAGGCAACCCACTGATCCCCCAGCCCACACACCAAGTAGTGACCAATTCAGGGTGCTGATCAGCAGGAGCCTGATCTCTGCCAGGATAAGTCAGAGCCTTTGCATCAGAGGGTGATATTAAAGCATGAGATCAGAGTCAGGAGCTGGGACTTTTAACTCCCTGCTCTTTCTGTGGCTGCACACCTCCCATGGAGCTTCATAGCAGAGTCAGACCCAGGGTCTGGCTGGCTGGGAGTAGGTGGTTTGGTCACCCCGGTATTACCTGGAAACAGAGGCTGGATTTGCCAAAGAACTTCATTCAGAAGTAAAACTGGAAGAGAGCATTAAACTGGTCTGATGGCGCTCCCAATCATGCCCATTTGAGCTTTCTGCCTGGAGTAACACCATGCGGTGTGGAGGACAGTTCCAAAGGGACCTGAGCTGGTGTGTCCGGGAAGAGATCTGGTGGGGAAGGGCTCTGTTGAGTCTTCAGCAGGAACATGGTTCTGAGCAGGCCATCTGTGCTGCCCCTTTACCTAGGATGGGGAAGACACCTGTCCCATGGTGCTTGTTCCTCATCCTGCAGGTCAGTGTCCACAGTGCCTAGCATCAGTCACCTCTAAAGACTACAAGGCTGTGTCTGCTCAGTGTGTAGCACAACCTGTGGCTGCCAGCCCCTCCTGGACACAAACCAGTCCTGAGGCTGTGCTCCCAGCCAGCACTGCTGAGCCTCCAGGAAGCTGTGGCGAGCCTCTGAGATGGAGATGCCGAAGGTGAAGTGCCCCATGGCAGCTGTGGCAGGCACAGACTGCTCCAGCTCCCACCCTCGGGTCAGTCGAGGGAGCTGCTTTGAGAAAGCACTGGGCTTTTGCTGTGGGACCAAGTGCAGCAAGCACAGACCTGCCTGTGCAAAGACAGTCACATCTCCCTGAGCGCTGGGATGTCACCAGCAAAGGCAGCATCTCATTCAGTGGAACCACACAGAGCCAACAGGCTCTGTCTGCAATTGCTGGCAACTCATCAGCTGCCCCAACCCTGGCAGCTCTGGCCACCTCAAGGAGGGGCCTGAGGATTCAGCTCTGCCCTGGCACAGCTGAGAGGCATCAAGCTGCCCCATGCCAGCCACACAGACACCATACAGCCCAGACAGTGAGGAAGCAAGCAGCCCTTCTCTCTGCAACTGTGTGAACTACACAACAGCTGGTTCCCCCTTAACCCAAAGATGGAGGGTGGACACCATTTCCACTGGAGCTGATCCCAGGGGGAGCATGGCCACGTGGAATCACCCTTTCAGGGGAAGGGTGTGTGCTCTATTGCTTCCTCCTGCTCCCCCAGCTGCTGCTAAAGTGAGGCAGTTGGCATCTGCGCTGGGCTGGTTTACACTGTCCCTCCAGGCTTCTCTTGCTGCTTGGAGAAGTGAGAAGCCTGTAAAAGTGGGAGATGGGGTAAGGGGGACACAGGACCCCTCACCCCCACTGCCCCACTCCCTGTGCCAGCCAGGTGTGAGCAGCAGCTCCTCTCCATGCCGCTGAGTCACGCCACCATGTCTCTGCTCTTCTTCGTCCCCGTGGGGATGAAGCTGAGCCCAGAGCTTGGCCAGGTTCCCTCCTGCACCAGGTGGTGCCACCAGCTGCAGCAGCTTCAGCGTGTCCCATTCCTTCCACAGAAGACGATGGACAGGGGGGAGGATGCAGGATGCATTCGGTGTTTGTCAGCACCACGGCTGCTGTTGGGGCCTGTGGTTTCGCAGTGATATCATGTGTGGCAAGAGGGGTACGGCTCAACGGCTGGACGCCTCTGTCATCCTCACCTCCTGCCTCCAGCTGGGCCCCTGCTGAACAAGGGGTCATGAGCACCCAGCAGATTGGCAGAGTATTTCTCAGCTCTCCTCTTCTGGTAGCAGTCAGGGATCTGGAAATCTGGCCTGGTCCATGAGGCAGAGCCTGGTTCGTGCCTCCTTTTGCTCTGCCTCATCACTGGCCTAGACAAAGAGATACAGCAAATATGTGTCACTCTCCCGGTGCCCCACGACATGCAGCAGATCCCTGTGTGTCTGGGACCAGCTGCGTGCCCATCCTTCGCACCCTTTGAAAGGAACCTCATGCAAACATGGCAGCAAGCTGGTGCCTCGTGCAGGATCTCACCAAGCACAGTCCCTCCCAGCGAAGGGCTGGACTGCTTCAGTCTCGCCTTTAGCTCCATCTTCAATCCACACCATCCTCATGGCTACTGAGCAGAAAGGAGCAGTCTCCTTGCTGCTTCCATGACTCTCCATGGCAACTCATAGGCTTTCTAAAAGGGAGCAGGTCCATGGGCAAATTTTTCCCCTGTGCTCTTGTTTCCTGGGGTCCTGTAGCAGCAAGCCCAGCCCAGTGTCCCAGCTTGCTTTCCCACAGCACAGGATTATCTCACCATCTTCCCCCAGGCAGTAACTGGTAGCTGCTCCCCAAAGTTGGAGGCTGGAACGTGTTGTGGCACCTCGGCCGAGGCAAGAGCACCGCATGGCTCCTTGGCCGGGAGCACCCCGCTTACGAAGGCTTTGGCTCCTCTGCTTGCGGTTTCAGTGAGGAGTAAGGGCCCGCCCGGTGCTCGTTTACATCAGTGTTAATCAGGAGTGACTGGCCAAAGGGCTGGAGCCGCCCCGAGATGACTCAACGAGGGGAACCCTGGATGGGAGCAGAGTGGTTCCTCCGATGTCTCCATCTGCTTCCTGCAGCCCATCTGGCACGAACCAACGCTGCACATGGAAATGTCACCCCTGCCAACCCAAAAGTGACCTCTTATTGATGCTGAATATTTCAGATTGCAGGCCATGGCAGGGGAATGGAGGGCAGTGGGGTGCTCTGCCTCTGCCTCCTTGCTGTTGTCCAAAGGATAGACCCACGTGCCACAAGGATATGCACAAAGGCAGAGCCGGGCCTTAAGTTTGCTCTGGAACCTCTGAGCACCCTTGGAAACATCTTGACTGCAGCAGCAGAAGCACCTAGGTTAGGCCAGAGTGTCACTCACTTTAACATCACTCAGGCACTAGGAGCTGTCTGGGTGCTTGACCTGAGGACACAAGCCATGCTCAGGGGGGGATAAAGGAGGGGGAGACAGATTTATTACCATAAATAAGCTAAAAAACATCTCTTTCCACAGTAGATACCCATCTGCTAACTGTGTCACAACATATGTGGTCTTGCCCCACCCGTCCTTCAGCTTCTTTAGTCTTCTCCTGAGCCCTCCATACCTCTGGTTGGGAAACACAGCACCCAAGAGCAGGACTGATGGGTTCCCATCTCCTTCAGACGCAGCAGTGCCTGGAGGAACGCCTGCAGCTCACCCCGGGCAGGGAAAAAGGTCTGGTTTGGCTGTGTTTGTTCAGTAAAGCAAAGGGAGAACCAGACTCCAGCAAAGAGGGTCATGCAGCCCAGAAAGAGGTGAAGGAGGCAGCAGAGGGAAGAAGTGGGGTGTCAGAGTAGAATGTTGAAGCAGCAGGGTTAGTGCCATGCTCCTGGTTTAGCATTTCCTGGGTTTGTCCCCTGGGTAACTTCAAGTCTCTTCCTCCCTAGTTATAGATGCCAAATCTCTTTTAAATCCTGGATCTCAGTTTCTCTGCACCCTCCTGCCCTGCCAGTGGCAGGACTGAGCCTCCCAAAGCTGCTCAAGTTGGGTGATAAAGCTCTGAGGTCCCGGAGTGCTGGGGCACTCCCATCAGGAAACCCAGGCAGGCAGCTGCCCTGCACCTACCAAGCGTGTGGGCAGCAGGAACAGAGGACGGGGGGGACAGAGCGCATGGGCCAGGTGCGTGCACTGAGTTCGAGCCCATCTGATGCCCCCAGGGAGGCAGAAAAGATGTCTTCCAGGCAGGCAGGGACTAATGGACCACGTTGCTCTGAAGTACCAGTGTTAGGGACTCACCCCACAACCCCCCATTGCTGCCACCCGTTTTCCCACCCCACACACATGGGACGGGGTCTGAACAGCCACCGTGGTGGCCACTTCGGGACAGCACACCGAAGGCGAGTTGGGGTAATGCTCCAGTGGAGACCACAGGACCAAGGGGCCAGCAGGCACGTCCCGGCAGCTCGGCAAAGTCGAGTGGGGGCCACTGCCGGCCCTGCTGCCGGCTGGCAGGCGGAGCAGTGAATGAGAGCGTAACTTATCAGTATTACCTCATGTGAAAGCCCTGTGCCTTTGTATCTCAAGCAAACACCGGCCATTATACCCCAGCGGGCTGGCATTGTTATTCTGTCTGGTCGCAAAAGGTTAGGGCTGTGGAGCCCCGCACGTCCACACCGGCTGCCCGTGGGGTGGCAGCGGGGCCACCGCGATGCAGCTCCCCGGCCACAAGAGCGAGAATCCCAGTGGTTCCCAGGCCTGGCTGGACTGTTACCTGCTCTGCAAGGCTGCCCCACCATCCACAGTGCCAAAATCTAATCAGGAAAGGCCCAAGAAACCCAAAGGTTTTGCCCAGAAGGACTGATGTCAAAAGGGACTTCCCACCACCTGGCACTGGGTTCCCAGGAAGCCAGCTCAGAGGGGCTGGGGGGCGTTTGGGGCTGGCAGGGAGGGTCACAAAGGAGCCGCTGACGGCATCTTCAAGGGTGACAGTGTTTCTCCCAGCCAAGTCAGGTGGAAGAGGCTCCTACCAAGCCAGGGCGTGCGCTGCCGCCGGAGCCGCGGGACTAGTAAGGACCTGCTTGCCCGGCCCGGATGCGCACGTAGCACGTTTGGGCACAGACCCCCCCGGGGCTGCGGTGGGGTGACGCAGTGCAGCGGTGGCTTCCGGCTCCAGCACCACGACGAGGTCCCCCCTGGGTACAGATTGGGGGTCCGCCCCCACCGGCCTGCTGGATCCCTGCCCAGGATCTGCAGAAGACTCAGCTCCCTGTGGGGACAAATGTGGTGATGGTAACTCATCCCTTGGCCTTTCCAGCCATCACCTCTTTGGGCAGTACCTCTTCCAAAAAGGATGCTCAGCGCCAAAACTGACAAGCCTGGGCTGATGTTGGGACCTCCAGGCTGCAGGTGAAATGCTGCCAGGCCCCCATTTCTGGGGAGAAGGCGTCTGAGAAGGGAAGGACAAAGACAACCGTGATGTTTAGCTTGGAAAATCCCAACAACCTGCCCCTACATTAGCTGTGGCGCCGAGGCTGCCGACAGCTGGAGGCAATGCAACTCGTATCCTCTGAGGACTGACACAGAGGGAGGCTCATGGCGTGGACTCACCCGTGTTTTAGAATTGCTTCATTTTCTCAACATTCAACAAAAGTTTGAGACATCGTGTTCCCACTCCCGACAGCCCAGCAAGGCAGCCCGACCCCAGAGCACAGCCATCCCCGCACAGCCCCGGGGAAAAGATACCCAGAAAGTCAGGAAGAGGCTGCAGCATCCCGGGGAGCCCAGGGAAAATGGCAAACCCCAAAAGGCAAACCTCAAAGCAAGCCCCTGGGGGGAAAACACACTCTGCCTGACAGGATAGCAAAGCCCTGGGAGTCTCTACGGGGAATTTCCGTTGTCTCCTTGCTCTTGCCACCCTGGGAGGCTCTGGAAGGGACAGAGATGCCGTGTCAGTCTCCATGCCCTTGCTTGTCTGCAGCCCCCATCCCTACCTGCCCCATCAGGGCATCTCTGCAGGGCCTCTCCCCATCATGGTCCCGGTTTGGGAAGAGGGGATGTTGGCCATGTCCTGGGCAAAGCCCTCTTCCAGACCCAAAGGAGACAGAGGAAAATGTAAAATCTTGTAGTGTTTCCTGTAATGCCTCATTCAGCAGCAACATCCAAAATAAACACCAGGGATGTTCAAACAGGTTGAACTCTCTGTCAGCATTTCAGACACAGAGACCTGGAGGTGAAGCAGGCACTGGTGCTGCCACAGCACTCCAGGAGCATCACACCCCTGTATCTGGAGTCACTCTGTCTCCATGATGCCCTGGTGGCTGCCCGGCCACGGGGCCATGTCCAAGCCCCCAGCTGATGCTCCTGCCCTTGGGGGCTATAGGGTTATTCTCCAGAAAAGCTTGCTTCCTTTGAAGGTGATTCATGTCACCTGCTGTGTCCTGCCACAGCGGTGGGACCAGATGGTCCCCTGCCACCCCATGCACCGGTGGCTGCTCATCCGTCCCTACAGCCAAAATCGAAATCCCTCCCCAAAACTGCTTTTCACTGAGCCTGCTATCACCAGACCCCTAGAAACGTACTCTAAAGCCTGTAAAAACAAACAAAAGTAAATTGTAAAAAGATCCTGTTGTGCCATGCCAAACCCTTGATGGCTTTCTCTTGGCAAACACCAGCAAGCATCTTGTTACTGGGGGCTGGTAGCTGGTGGCTGTGCTGGAGGGCAAGTAGCTCCTCCATCCTTGTACCTGGTCTGTCCCTGCTCCTCTCCGCTGGCCCTGCCCCAGGCAGGTACCGAGCAACATGGGCAGGACTAGCAGAGAGCAACAACTTTTTGAGGCTTGTTCCAAAGCTACTGAGGGACTTTGGGATGGTGCTTAACCAACAGCTCTTCAGGTTGGCCACTGGGAAAACATTGGCCACTCCAGGATCTCCATCACATGCACAAAGCCCTCTGATGTCTCTTTCTGCAAAGGGACAACTGGCCCTCACGCAGCATCAGCTGGAAATCCTCACACTATAGTTATCCACCGCTCCATCGGGAAATGCTGCCTGGCCCGTGGCAGCAGAAGAGACATAAATCTGGGCAGCAATTTCCCCAAATCAATATAGAAACATACTCTCTAATGAAGAGAGAGTGGAAGAAAAGGGGGATAGATAGCTGGCTGTTCACTGCTGAGGTGGCACAGCTTTCTTCAGGCTAGAGTCCACATTTCTGTCCTGTAAACCTTCTCGGGACCATCCTCTGCAAAGTGCCCAGAACCTGGCTCTTAACTTCAGCCGAGAAAGCTGGGGCCCCAGCACTGCCCACCAGGATCTAGCCTCACCCGCAGGCATTGCTCACCCCTTCCTTGTGATGGGGTCGAAACACCCAGTGCTGCTGTCACACGTACCCCCATGACCCGTCTCCCTCCCACCCTCCAAATCATGCTGGCACCGGTCACACTTTGATGAATCCCTCTCCATCCTCAGGCACGGGGACCCTCGCACACGCACCCACTCTGCTCCCTTCCCTGCTCTCTACACACCAACACTCCCCCTTTTCACCCCCACTTTGGTAAGCCTCTGCAGTCTCTCCCCATTTTTAGCCCTACGATAGCAATGTTCTCCGCTTTTGGGTAGTTTCCAGCCCACCCCACCCTGGGAGCGGGGCTTTCTGGAGAACAGGGCATGTCCTGGTGTTGGGTGATGCCCAGCAGCACCCGAAGGGGTGAGAGGCTCAAATCCAGGCTGGGCAGAGCCAGCACCGCAGCCACCACACGGACACCTCTGAACAGCCGTTAGCCCGCTGTCACCCGGGAAAGGGGGTTAGGGACTTTATGTGACATGAAGAGCAGTCAAATATGGATTTTCAATCCTTTCTTAGGTCACCCGAGCCACCCCCTCAGCAAATGCCCTGCAGCCTGTCTCCCCATAACCCCTGGTTCAACACTGGCATTCCTTAGGGCCAGCCCAGCCCTGGAGCTCCTTTCTCCCCACAGCTCTCTTGGGGCTCCTAGGTGCAATGGGGGGGGGTGTCACCCCCTCCAGCCCTCCCCGTGGCTCTCCATCCCTCCTTGTCCTGCTGTGCAGGATCCCCTTTGCTCTCCAGCTCTCGGAGAAAGCCCCCAGTGAGCATAGCCCTCTCCACCTCACTCTAAGCTTCCACATGTGCCCCAAGTCTGTCAGTTCTCAGCCTGGGCACGCATCCTGCAGGACCGTGGACTAATGCAGGCACATCCCTTTAAGGGTTAAAAGCTTTCAGGCCCCCATCCCGTGAAGCAAAAGGGGTTTGTGCTCTTAACCCCTTCCTGCCCACCTCTTCTCCCCCCCTCTGAGCTTTTGCCACCCGGGTGGATCCGATCTGGTTTGAGTTAAGGGAAAGGCTTTTTGTGCGCCCGGTTCTGACTCCAGCAACTTTCAGCAGAAAAGGCAGAGTAATTTGAATAACAAGACTAATTGGATTTATAAAGCACAGCCACCCCCCCCCCCCCCA